AAGGATTCTTCAATATACACAAATATACACAAATAAATCAATGTGATACACCATATTAACAAATTGAAGCAGAAAAACCATATGATCATCTCAATAGATGCAGAAAAAGCTTTTGACAAAATTCAACACCCATCTATGTTAAAAACTCTCCAGAAAGTGGGCATAGAGGGAACCTACCTCAATATAATAAAGTCCATATACATTATCCTCAGTGGTGAAAAACTGAAAGCATTTCCTCTAAGATGAGGAAGAAGATAAGGATGTCCACTCTTGCCACTATTATTCAACATAGTTTTGGAAGTCCTAGCCACAGCAATCAGAGAAGAAAAAGAAATAAAAGGAATATGCATTGGAAAAGAAGAAGTAAAACTATCACCGTTTGCAGATGACATGATACTATACATAGAAAATCCTAAAGATGCCACCAGAAAACTACTAGAGCTAATTAATGAATTTAGTAAAGTTGCAGGATACAAAATTAATGCACAGTAATCTCTTGCATTCCTATACACTAATGATGAAAAATCTGAAAGAGAAATTAAGGAAACACTCCCGTTTACCATTGCAACAAAAAGAATAAAATACTTAGGAATAAACCTACCTAGGGAGACAAACGACCTGTATGGAGAAAACTATAAGACACTGATGAAAGAAATTAAAGATGATACCAACAGATGGAGAGATATACCATGTTCTTGGATTGGAAGAATCAATATTGTGAAAATGACTATACTACCCAAAGGAATCTATGGATTCAATGCAATCCCTATCAAATTACCAACAGCATTTTTTACAGAACTAGAACAAAAAATCTTAAAATCTGTATGGAGACATAAAAGACCCCGAATAGCCAAAGTGGTCTTGAGGGAAAAAAACAGAGCTGGAGGAATCAGACTCCCTGACTTCAGACTATACTACAAAGCTACAGTAATCAAGACAATATGGTACTGGCACAAAAACAGAAATGTAGATCAATGGAACAGGATAGAAAACCCAGAGATAAACCCACGCACCTATGGTGAACTAATCTATGACAAAGGAGGCAAGGATATACAATGGAGAAAAAGTGTTTTCAGTAAGTGGTGCTGGGAAAACTGGGCAGCTACATGTAAAAGAATGAAATTAGAGCACTCCCTAACAGCATACACAAAAACTCAAAATGGATTAGAGACCTAAATGTAAGACTGGACACTATAAAACTCTTAGAGGAAAACATAGGAAGAAAACTCTAACATAAATCACAGCACGATCTTTTTTGATCCACCTCCTAGAGTAATGGAAATGAAACAAAAATAAACAAATGGGACCTAATGAAACCTAAAACTTTTGTGCAGTAAAGGAAACTGTAAACAAGACGAAAAGACAGCCCTCAGAATGGGAGAAAATATTTGCAAATGAATCAATGTACAAATGATTAATCTCCAAAGTATATAAACAGCTCGTGCAGCTCAATATTTAAAAAACAAGGGCTTCCCTGGTGGCGCAGTGGTTGAGAGTCCGCCTGCCAATGCAGGGGACACGGGTTTGTGCCTCGGTCTGGGAGGTCCCACGTGCCACGGAGCAGCTGGGTCCGTGAGCCGTGGCCACTGAGCCTGTGCCTCCGGAGCCTGTCTGTATAAACTATGCTTGAAGGGATAAAAAAAAAAAAAAAAAAAAAAAATTGAGAGGTAGATGTAGAGAACAAGCGTATGGACACCAAGGCGGGAAAATGGCGGGGGGGAGGGGTGGTGGTGTGATGAATTGGGATATTGGGATTGACATATATGTATGTCAGTATGACTAATATGAATAAAATGGATAACTAATGAGGACCTGCTGTATAAAAAAAATAAAAAATACAATAAATTTTAAAAAATAGATAAATTTGAGCACTGAGCGATATGGTTACAGCCCTGTCCAACACCTTCATTGCAGCTTTGTGAGATCCTAAGCAAAGTACCCAGTTAAGCCATGCCCAGACTCCAGGTCCACAGAAAATATGAGATAACAAATGTTGGGTTATGTAGGTTTTTTGTTAACAATCTTATTGCCATGTAATACAACTTGCCCATTTAAGGTATACAGTTGAAAGGTTTTTATTCTCTTCACAGTATTTTGAAACCATCACCACAGTCAGTTTTGTAGTGTTTTCACTACTCCCAAAAGAAAGCCCATATTTTTTTAGCTGTTACGCATCTTTCTTTTATTCACCCAGCCCTAGGCTACCACTAACCTACTTTCTGTCTCTATAAATTTGTCTGTTCTAGACATTTCATATAAGTGGAATTAAACAAACAAAGTTGAGCACTGAGGGTTGAACAGAATCTTCCTTTTTGCTAAACTGTAAGTTCCTCTAGGTAAGGAAATAAAAAAAAATAATAAATAAAGTGTGCAGATTGAGTGGTGTTTAGTTATTTATATTTATAGAGTTGTGTAGCCATTGCCATAATCTAATTTTGGAATTTTTACCACCCCGAAAAGAAACCTTGTAATCATTCTCTCTCTTTAAAAAAAAAAAATCTAGTAGATTCTTTTAAAATCTAGTAGGTTTTTTAGAAAAAAAATGTAGTAGAGGTTATAGTTTTCTAAGGAAGTCTTCTCAGGAAACTGCCTTTCCATTATAGATTTCCCATTCTCTTCATATTCTTTGCTCAGAAATCTAGAATTTCATTCCTCCTTATCTATTTAACTGATTTAAAAGATAATGCAAGAAAAATAGATATGGCAGCTTAACATGAGGGAGGACTATTTGTTGTTTTCATGGATTTAAAGGACCTATGCTCTTGTTCAGGAGTTCTCTCATTGGCTAGTGGAGACTGTATAAGTGTTTAATTTGGATTGAATTTAGGACTAAAGGACAATAGTACTAACAGCATAATTTATATCCCTTTAATCTTTTTATGTTTTATGGGAAGGAGGCTTGAGAGTAAGACCAACGTATGTGGTCATGGTGTACAGTTATATCTTGGAGGGAATCTTTGAGGTAATGGGGTAAAAGAAGAGTTTCAGTGAGGATTTAAGTCTTAGAGAAGTTGTTTAAAGTAGCAAAGCCAACACAGTTTTGTCTGAAGTCAGAGCCTGTGATGGTAAGGACTGTATTACCTGCTGTTTTCCTTGGATAGATAGGAAGAAACTTCTGACTTCTCTAATTTCCAAACACTTGAGTCAGTTAATCAGAAAATACCTTTGGTGAAGGAATGAATCCATGCTTCGTACACCTTCCACTTGACTTGCTTATTACTTTGGTTTGGGGGTAGGCTATAGGGAAGATTGAGATATAACAAGTTCTATATTTAGTTACTTTCCAATGTATTTTTATTGACATTGCTTTTATACCTCTAATTTAGACTTTGTGTCCTTCTTTGGGAAAGTGAAATGTGGTTAGTGATGGGGCTTTTACTAGGTTAAGTTTTTTTTCCCTTGACATGAATGCATTTTGGTAGATCCTTTCTCTTTTTATCTAAGCTAATTTTTATTTTCATATTTCCTTTTTGTTTATTTTCCTACACCCCCCCCCAAAAAAGGTCTTGAATATGCTTTTCTTCTATGTATAAGGGTCTCATTTTCAACATGGATTGAGAAAAATAATTGTATTAAAATCTATGTTTGATTATGTGACATTTGTTTTAATTAGTTTCTCCGTACTATCCCCCTTATATTATTTGAAAGATGGAAGTAATCTACTTAAGTTTTTTAGCAACATTTTAACAAGCTGAAAAAATTTTAGTCAGGGCATATTATATTCAGACAGATGTAACATTTGCTAAATGCTTTGAAGACGAAAATTTCAAGTGTTAGGTAATAGTTTTTTGAAAGAAAAATTTTTAAGTGGATTCTTTACTGTGAACGGAGATCATTTAATACTACAACTTCTAATTTTAGCTTTCCTTCATGATATTCTTTCTTATTCCTATCCACATGAAACTCAGGATACATATTTTAACTGGGAGGATCAAAGTATTTATGAATTCAGTAATCAGCTGACAGTATTGTTTGCTACCAAGGATAAAATGTCTTACAGTGCTACCTTTATTTTTTTAATCACTTAGTACAAATAGTTAATAATCTTCTTTAATTGTTGGAATGTTGCTTTTCTTAGAATACTAGGCAAGTCCCTTAAACTCTGTGCCTCGATTCTTTAGAAAATAGACATATGATTCTAACTGGTCTTTTGAAGTTTCTTCCAACATTGATTCTACTACCTTTAGTGGATATCTTGGTACTTATTTCTGTCCAAAAACCATGTAATAATAACTATAAAATAATTTTTAAATAGTAGATGTAAATTTGATTTTATGGACAATTAGAATATTATAAAATATATTAAAAAGATACAGTACTCTTTAATCTGGGATAGAAAAGTAATCATAATCTAATATAGGCACTTGTGCTTAGTGATTCAAGAGTATCCTATACTTGTGCCTTTCTAGAGTTGGAGATACCTCAGAGTAAGAAGTAGTTCCTTGAGCCATAACATTTCTCTTTTTCTCTTCTTTAGGAGGGAAAAATGCATTATGATAGCAAATTAAAATATTTGATAAAGGTGCTGAGTAAAAGAGCAGTAGACTATTGGTCTAATTGGAGAAGCCAATTTAAAGCTGATATACACTAGTACATGCCATCTCATATGTAAAGGATGATAAGTTACCCTCTTTTTTTTTTTTTTTCCAAAGGAAGATATTGGAGCATCTTGGGTTATTTGACATCTCTTCTGTCTAGTTTTACACAGTTTTAAAATTTTAATAACTTTTTCTGTAGATCATTGTAAGCATGAGGGATAAAGCCAAGAAGAAAACAGGGGTTAGAATGAATGGAAAATTCATTATTCAGTTCAATAAAAATATATAATAAAAGAAAAATATTTGCTAATAATTTTTACAACAGTAGTTATGTGAAGTTTAGTGTATGTGTATGAATAATATAGTTCTTCTTATGAGTGAAAAGACATTAATTTTATGCTCATAATTAGGTTATTGACTTATACTCTTTTTAAAAAAAGTTTTTTCCCTTTCCCCCAACAGAATCTGTCTATGATCTTCTCCCAAAGGAGTTACAGTTACCTCCATCTAGAGAACCATCTGTAGCATCAATGAGTCAGACAAGTGGTGGTGAGGCAGGCTCGCCTCCTCCAGCTGTAGTTGCTGCTGGTATGCATTTCATTTTACTTTTAAAAGAAAAAGTATTATCTGGTCAACATGAACAGTGCTGGCAAAATTCATATCAAAGAGTGTGATTTGAGGGTTTGTTTTAGGAGGTTTTAAACTACATACTTTTAACATTAAAAACTTTCAATATACAATATTCTTGGTACAACTGTTATTTCTTAAAATTTCACTTTGGCACATCTATTAGTGCCATCTCCCAGAATGGACCTTATCTTCAACTATGGGAACGAGTTTAAAGTTTTTTTGTTCACTGCACATGTAAAGGTTATTATAAATACCAAGCTATGGATAGAAAATTATATTTGAGTCTCTATAAAACAATTATTTTTAAAAATTTGCTCAAAGGGGAAAATGTTTTATTTTGTATAATGTGAAAAAAGGACTCAAGCACTCAAGTGTCTTTTCTGTTCGTAGCGTGTTACTATA